GCAATTGTTTTGCAATTATTGTTGCTGTTTACAAATGAAAATAAAAAGAAACAAGAGCAAGAAACACAAAAGTTCAAAACTTTTTTCCAACTGATGACGACTAAATACCCTTACATGTACTCAAAGATGTTTATATATATAAAGAACACAATCTTTTATCATAAATAGGCCGATAATATAGTGAGTCGCAGTATTTTGCAAGTTTTAATTTCTGTTTTTATTTCTATCAAATTTAATCTTTATTGAATTAGCATTGCCTCGCTTTCGCTTTTCAATTAAAATTACTCAATAATTTACCTTGGTAACAAAAACAGAGAATTTTGTTGTTTCTGATGTATGTTGAATTGGTGTACATCAAAAATATAGATAATTAAGATAAATTTCAATTTAAATGTTTTTATAGTATTTTTAATATAAATTACAAATCGCCTAATTTGTATAGAAATATCAACGAAAAAGAAAAACACTGCTCGCTGTGTACTTATTCTCTACTTATTTTGTACCTCTCTCTCTCGCTCACTCTCGCTTATTTCTTTATCAATTGCATATTATGTAAATGTTGCTCTTGCACTCACCTTGGTATGCAATTGGGCGGTGTTCGATCGACTTCCCAGGCGGCGAAGAGTTTCATAGGCACCGGCTTTTGTCCGTTGCCTGTCATATTGCTGCTGATGACGCCGCCACCACTGAGGCCGCTGGCCGTGCCCGACGCATTGCCCGATGCAGCGCCAGCGGCAGCTACGTTGGCTGTTGCCGATGCTGTGGCTGAGCCGCCGCCACCGCCACCGACTCCTCCACCGCCGCCGCTGCCGCTGCCGCTGCCACTGGCGACAAATTTATCCATCAATTTTGACGATTTGTCCACCATCTTCATGGTGATTTTGTAATTATTGTTGTATTATATTGTTGTTTCTTTGGTTGTTGTGTGTTTGCTGTTAATTTCTGTTGTTGCACATTATGAATCTAGTAAAAAATATTGTTTCACATAAATTCCAATACACGTTATGTATAATATAACTAAATTTATTCGAGTGTAGCGTTTGAAGCGTCGCAAACTTTTGTTCTATTGTCGCACACATACATATACATAGATGTGTATATATATTTATTTATTTAATAGTAAAGAATTTATATTCTCCGCTGCAGCAATTGGGCGGCTGCTGCTGTGGGGCGCGCCAGCTGCTGGCTGCTGGCTGCCTGCTGTGCTGCTCGCCCTTAATGTTCAAAAAGATGCGCTTCGTGGTATACACAGAATCACGACGCATCCAAAACCGAGAAGCAAGCCGACCAACAGAAGTGAGATGGGGAGGGGTACACGGAACGCGAATAGGCAGAGGCAGCAGCAGAGGCAGAGAGCCAAATACGATTGCAACTGCAAAATTCACACACACACACGAACGCTCACTCACAGAATCAATAACACGATTTTTTGCTGCTACCCAATATGAATCTGTTATAGAATTTTACTGATTTCCCGGAGCAGCTTAGAGATGTGCCTGCTGCACGTACGCGTTGTCTGCTATTTGACGTTGGAGAGCCCGAAACAACCGTCATGCTCCAAAGTAGCCGTGCAAATGTCGCGTTATAAATTTCTCACAGTCACTCGTTTCGCATGCTGAAGCCAGAGTGCGCGGAGGAGAGAGACAGAGTGAAAGAGAGAAAAATTCAGTGAGCAGCAAATCCGCTGCTGGGGCGCGTCAAGAGCGCAAGCGGCAGCAATAACAATGTGCGCACTCCCCCACATACAATCACACACACTAGCACAAATTCGAGTACGAGCACTCAACAACGTTGGCGCTTTTGCAAATTTCGTGTCCGTGTTAGGCTTGTTCGTGTGTTTATTCGCGCATTTTATGCTCTCCTACGCGCGCATAAACAAAAGGAAACAAAAGGCCCACCAATTGCACGCAAGTGTGTTGGATGCATGTTTGTGTGTGTCGACATATACATATACCCGCAAATGTATGGAAAGGAAAGCACATTGGGAGTAGCAACAACAACAGCGCCTTTCACAACATTTAATTTGAATTTGAGTGCACACCGTTGATGTTTTAACATATAAACTCTCTCATGTATTATTTATTTTATTTACCACGATTAATTCACCAAAAAATCGCGGAACAATCTACGACGTCCGCCACTCATTCAGGCAAACACATACTAACAGCAATAAACTAACACATAGACAACAAACACTTCTTAACATTTACTCAAATGTTATTAACAGTGACCGCAAATTTCTTTTACTGAAACGACACAAAGTTGATTTTCATGAATGCAAACATTTTTTAGCAATGCAATATATCTACTAATATTTAATAAACAGTGTTTAATTGAACAAAAATGTTTAAAATACGGATGTCGTTTGAATGAAGAGCTATTAAACAGACATCAAATCATTGCAACTTTCATAAATAAGAACAGAGGAAACATTTTCCAACACTAAGTTTTATCGATAACTTCTTGCTGCCAGGGCATCAGCAGTCTCATCTGTCATAATTAATGTAAACAAAACTGAATTATCCGGCGACGAAAAGAAATCTTACAAATAATGGCCGATGTATGGGACATAAAGTCACTTAAAACAAAGCGCAATACTCTGCGCGAGAAGCTGGAAAAGCGTAAAAAGGAACGGATCGACATACTTTCTGACAAACAAGAGGACCAGTCCAACCCAAAAAAAGAGCTCGGTAAGCGACGAGCCGGCAACAAGTAAATGCGTTAAATATTAATATAAATATCATATTTTCAGTTGAAGCCGATGTGGATGTACAGAAGGCTGTACTTCAGACACTCAGCGCTAGCACTCTCGTCCTTCCCATTGTCTCAACGCAAGTGGTCGACAAAGTCGGCTCCCTGATGGAGAAGCTTCCAACGATGGAAATGGTCAACTTTATACTTGGGAAGCTAGCCAATCAGGGCGCAATTGGTATAAGGAATGTCACAATTGGCACAGAAGCGGGGTATGAAGTGATTTCCGTACAAACCAAGGAGTTGTTGGAAATATGCGACGATATTAACGACAGTTGCCAGCAGAATGAGGAAACGGATGCGAAGCGAAAATGTAAGCAAATGCTTGTACATGATTGAGAATATATTGATTAATATAGAGCACCCAACAGTAGAATCTGGGCAGGATGACGAGAACGATGATGAGCAGTTGCAGCGCAAAATACAAAAAGTGGATTCAGGAAGCGCTCGCAAAGAGTCAACCAGTCTGGATGCATCGGATGACATCATGATGCTGTTGTCCCTGCCTTCAACACGAGAGAAGCAAAGCAAACAGGTCGGCGAGGAGATACTCGAATTGCTGACCAAACCGACGGCCAAGGAGCGCTCCGTGGCCGAAAAGTTCAAATCCCACGGAGGTGCACAAGTCATGGAGTTCTGCTCCCATGGAACCAAAATCGAGTGCCTCAAGGCTCAGCAGGTAGCTAATGAAATGGCAGCAAAGAAGAAACTCGAACGTCGCGAGGAGAAAGAGCTGCGCAATGCTGTCGCTGCCGATGGAGCCATTGCCAATAGTAGCAAGCTAGTCAAGCTGAGTTCCGAGGATGCCGAAGATGGCGAGATCATAGCGGAGAACCTAAACAACTGTGAGGCCGACTCGCAGGAGTCCACAGATGATAGCGAATCCTCCGGTGACTCGGACAAATGCACAAAACTGCACTTTAAGAAAATCATTCAATCCCACACGGACGAGTCGCTGGGCGATTGCAGTTTCCTGAACACCTGCTTCCACATGGCCACTTGCAAGTACGTGCACTACGAGGTGGATACGCTGCCACATATCAACACGAATAAGCCGACGGATGTGAAGACCAAGCTCAGCATGAAACGAAGCATCGACTCCAGTTGCACTCTCTATCCGCCGCAGTGGATTCAGTGTGATCTTCGATTTCTGGACATGACGGTGCTCGGTAAATTCGCTGTCGTCATGGCCGATCCCCCATGGGACATACACATGGAGCTGCCGTATGGCACCATGTCGGACGACGAGATGCGTGCCCTAGGCATACCAGCACTGCAGGAAGAAGGCCTGATATTTCTATGGGTAACGGGGCGTGCCATGGAACTGGGACGTGATTGCCTGAAGCTCTGGGGCTATGAGCGTGTCGATGAGCTGATCTGGGTGAAAACGAATCAGCTGCAGCGCATCATACGCACTGGCCGCACCGGTCACTGGCTGAATCACGGCAAGGAGCACTGCCTGGTCGGCATGAAGGGCAATCCGACAAATCTGAATCGCGGCCTCGACTGTGATGTTATCGTCGCAGAGGTGCGCGCCACCAGTCACAAGCCAGACGAGATCTATGGCATCATTGAGCGCCTCAGTCCGGGCACTCGAAAAATCGAGCTCTTCGGCCGACCGCACAACATTCAGCCAAACTGGATAACGCTGGGCAATCAATTGGATGGCATTCGCCTAGTCGACCCCGAGCTAATTACCCAATTCCAGAAGCGTTATCCCGATGGCAACTGCATGTCGCCCACGGCGGCGGCAGTGACCGCGATTAAGAACTAAGCAAATATACGGACAAAAATATAATTCTTATTACAACTTTTATAAATACTAGTATGTTAAGATTAAAGTAAATATTTAAACAGATTTTATTGCTCATTCTGGTATTTTGCGCGTATTTACAAGTGCCGTTGGCGCCAAATGAATAATGTGTATCTATGGGCTATAAATAGGATTGGCATATGTATATATATAAATGTATAGAGATATATATACACGTAATCCATGTATTTGTTTATATATATAGAGTATATAGAACGGCTAGTTAGATACGATCTTAATCACAGCATTGTATGCGTGAGAGATATAGACGATTGCTAATGGGCATAAATATATGATGTAAACAACTAAGACTTATGGGAGAATACAGAGTTAAGTTAATATTATACATATACTATATGTATGCTATCCCTGTGCCCTGCAATACCCTCTCGCCTAGCCATTGTCCGTGGATCAGCTTAATATATGTACACTAAGGTTTTGACATGAAAATGGAAAATCTTCCTTTTATCAATCCACTTGAAAAGTTTCACGCGGCATTTTCAACCAAAATTTTGATAATGTAACGGTTTACAATTAAAAGCGTTTGTAATCCGCAGTTAACATAAATTACATAAATTTCTGAACATTTGTGTGTTTGTGTTGTGGGTGTCCTCCTGGGCAGTTACCGCCGGTCCTGAAAATCCTTAACGAGAGTGCGTTCCAGTTGCACTTATCGCCTTTAGAACTATGAAGCCCAGCACCGTGGCGGCGGCCACGCCCAAGCCAGCTTTGAGCCATACCTTCGGATCCTCAGTCATCAGTCCGAATTGTCGCAAATATCTAAGAGGATGTGATAAGACAAATTGTGCATGAGATACAGATACTAAACAGAATTGAAAGATGGTTTTTAAAGGAACTAAGTATATTGTCGAATGCTCCGTACAACACATTTGCAAAGCGTGTGTTAGGTGTATGAGTGCGTGAGGTTTAGAATGATCGCAGCGCATGTTAGGAATATAGTAAAGAACCCAGACAGCGTTAGTAAATATTCAAGTCAGATGTATAACACTTACGCCGATTCCCACAGCTGTACCAACCTGTGCTTGTAGAACAGTATCCAGGCGGCTTGAAAGCGCCTACGGAGTGGCAGCAACAGCGGCAGCACAGCATATATCCAAGAAATCCAAGATCAGAGCAGCAGCAGATTCCATAAGCATTAAGGATGCACAATACATCAACAAAACATAACATGAACACCAAACAAAAATCGTAGTGGGTAAGTGGAGGGGAGGGAATAAGAGAAGATAATAAAAGTAATAATATATATATAGCCATTAATCCGAATATGTCAAAAATGCCAAGTGCCCAAATGATCTGTGTTAACCCAATGAGCGCTCTAATGGCCGCAACCCAAATGGAAAAGCATTTCAATACTCACGGAAAGGCCGCCATTGTGGCCAGCTTAGTGTAGAGCTCCTTTTTGTTGGTCTTCAGGCTGAAGAGATGGGGCGGGAGCAGCTTGTATTTGTCGCAGAACTCCGCCGGCTGCATTAGATAGTCCTGGCGACGCTCCTCGAGATCACACTTGGTGCCCACAATCATGACAGGAATTTTGCTTTCCGCAAAGTATTTAATGTATATGCGGGCCACATACTCGAAAGAGCGCGGATTGGAGGAATCGTACACCAGGCAGGCAACGTCGCAGTTCACCTCCTGCGGCTGCAGCGGATCGAGCGCATGCCGCACATCGATGTCACGCAATATTAAATGCTTCTCCTGGCCATACACCTGCACCGAGTTGATGCAGTGCACCACATTCGTCTTGAACTCTTTGCCCAGCAGCTTGCTCATGTCGTCAATGAGGAAGCCGCGGCACAGTCCGGTCTTGCCCGAGCCCTTGGGTCCGATCACGTGGCACTTGTACACGGACCGACTGCTCTGCCGCTTGGCCAGATCAATGCGACGCTCTCGCGTCACATGGATGGCCACCAGTTGGCTGTCGTTTTCGTGTACATTGAAGCCCAAGTAGGCCAGATACTCCATGGTTTTGACCACATCGATCAGGGTCATCAGCGTCCAACGGCACAGCCAACCGTGCAGTGTGACCCAGCCGCAGTCATTGGTCGGACACGACTTGCGTATGTCCGTCGAATAGGACCAGGGCGGCGATGGGCAGGTGCTGAATAGCATTTTGTGCTCTTCCGGCGACAGCGCGCCATCGCCATCGCGATCGTACCGCTCGAAGAGCGCAATCAAAAACTGTTGACCGCGATGCGATAACTCCGTGCTGCTGCCCGGCGGAATCTTCAACGCCGGCCGCAAATACTCCTTGCACATCTCCAATTGATCGTTGTAGCCAAATCGCCGCAGCACCGCCCACGTTGTCTCGTTGCGTCCACGCTGTATGAACAGGCAATGCAAAAAGAGAAATCCCTGCAGCGTCACGGCATCATTGTAGATGCCATCCGGCACGTTTTTCTGTATCACGGACTTCACCTCATCCAATATTTGTGGCTGCAGCGGCGTATTAAAGCAACGCCTCTGAAAGAGGTTCAGCTCGTAATCATTCAGCAGATTGTCGCTATCAATATCGCATATCTTGAATATGCGCACCAGCGACTTTTTGCAGGCAGGCGTCAGCTGTAAGTGTATTGCAAGGAAAAGTTATCTTCAGTTAGCCAAAGGTTAAACACCAGCAAATCTCTCTCTATATATATATATTAATTCTATTGTGCACAGAGTCCCACAAAAAACATTTTTATTTAGTTGCTTATATTGCATTCTGATAAAAATAGCTCTCAAGGCTATGTACATATGTATGTACTACGTTATGACTACGTTGGTCTGGAACGAAAAGTTAAAAGAGTCTGGAATAGTTTAAGCTGAACAACCAAAGAGTAAGCTGGAATTAATCTAGCGTTACTCTAGCTTACTTTTTTGCTGTCCTTTATTGTGAGTTGTACTTTGGATAGGGTGTTACTTATCTACTAAAATTTTCAGTCTTAAGGTTCTATTGTTTTTGCATTGTGCAAGCTTTATTAAAGGGAATTCAGTCTAATGTAGCTTACCTTTTAGTGCGAACCTACTCTCAGAGTTCAGAATGATCTCTAGAAACCAATCTACTTATCTATCGATTGCCGATTATGAGAATTTATATTTCGGAAAAGTTGCCTACCAAATACAACTTCGGACTAATCAAGTTTACGTTTTCGTGAGAAGCCTCGCAGCAGCAAATCTGCTATGGGCATTATCTCAACAACTGAAAATTCCTACTTATCTAATCGTCCATTATGTAGTCTTATTTTGTGACATCTTCCAATCAAACTCTTCTGTTGTACCCAGCCTTAAAAGATATTCGGAAAAATCTAACTTATATTTTAGTAGGAAGTTTCTCTCGTAGATGGAAAATATCCTCGAAAATTGAGGCTGTTCTAACCTACATTTTGGTCATCATGAGGTGGAGTACTATTTAGGTTATCACAATATTCGGACTAATCAAGCTTCGTGTCTTCACTTCCATTGCATAAACTTTATAATGAATTCGGACTATTCCAGCTTACATTTTAGTGGGAAATTTCTCTCGCAGGATCAACTCGAATTTGGAAATAATTATTATTCAACTAACAACTAATGTGGCTTACATTTTGCTCCTCCATGATGTAGAGCGGTGAGGTGGGATGCAGCACCGCCTTTTGTGCGTAGTAGAACATTTCGGAAATGTTGTGCAGAGTCTTAGCGGAGCATTCAACACAGCTCTCAATCTCCGGATAGTCCTCCATGATGGCCAAAACACTGTCGATGGTTGAATACTCGATCAAATCAATTTTGTTACCAACTAAGACAATTGGCTTGCGCGCCACATCGGGCTCGCCGTCTGTGTTTGTACTGCTGCTGCTGCTACAGGTGGAGCGGACTAGGGGTAGCCAGTGCGATGTTATACGATCGAGCGAGTCGTCATCGTCCACGGCGTACACAATGCACACGACGTGCGCTTTGTTTATCTCGGCGGCCAGTGCTTCATCGGATTGCTCAACGCTCGAAAAGTCAACGATATTGGTGGGCACTTGTTCGGGAGTCACGTTCGCCGGTATTGTAATCTCTTCGGCTCGAGGCGGCACCTCCTCGGGATACTCCTCGCTGACCAGGGACAATATTAACGACGTTTTGCCAACTCCAGCATCGCCGACAAGCAGAATTCTCACATTTTTGCGCTGCGACGCCGTGTATTGACCCATCACTCTTCCTTATTATCTTGTTGCTATTCTCTATGTAAGTACACTACGTTATCGCTTTACGTTTCCGTTTTCAGCAATTTTGGTTACTCTCCCTCTCTTTCTTGTGGTTTTAGGATAATTTAAAGATTTTGTTATGCAAAAACCGCAGATACAACCGAGACGGCAGCTGATTTATAAAGACACGCGTATCGATACTTCAATACATCGAAATTTTCAAAGCGACAACAACCCTAGAACAACCCATGTGGTGCTGCCGGACCAATTGTCAATTTGAAAATATTTTAATTGTGTATGGTGTTTTTTGCATTTGCTGATCTTTCAATCGAACTTTTCTAATTTACCAAAGTATTATTTCGAAAAACATAGCGTTTACTGCCTTTCTGAAGTTTTTCCCCCCCAACATTTTCAAATCGTTAGAACTGAAATGATGTGGCAACTACATCAGCGGAGACGGAGAAAATTTGTTTTGTGAGTTGGAAACGGCACAAAAAAAACGGCGCTCAATAAATTTACATATAGAAAAATGAGAAATAACAATTAACAACAAAAAGCGCGCGTCGTGTGTTCCGTTTCAGTTTATTTCAGTTTTCAGTACATTATTTAATTGCGTAGTCTTTTTGGTTTTGCTGTCTTTGTGTCTGAGCTGTGGAAGCTATTGACTGTGTGAGAGTGAGAAAGAGAGGAGCAAAACTTCGCTTCTCTGGAGGTGGGGGCGGAGGGTGTTGTGTTTGTGAAAAGAGACTCGTATAGAAAAACAGTGCTGCGGCTCGGAATCAATATCGATGGTACGCACCAAAAACCAATCGTCGTCATCCAGCGCCAGCAGCAGCACCAAGTCGCCGGTCAAGATCAGCGGAGGTGGCAGCAGCGGAGCCAATCGCAGCCGCAGCTGCAGTGAAGCATTAATCGATGACGGCAAAACTAGTTCGAAATTGTCGTCGAATCGTCAACGCGCTACAATAACAGCAACAACAACTACATCCACAACTCCGGGCAGTTCACCAGACGACGACACCACCGATGCGGATTTGACACCGACCAGTGGATACGGGCCAAGAGGCGGCACTTCGGTGCACAAGCAAAACCTCTACGTTGTTTCATTTCCCATTATATTTCTGTTCAACGTTTTGCGCTCTCTGATTTATCAGCTGTTCTGTATTTTTCGCTACTTGTACTGTGCGAGCACAAAGGTGATCTATCGCAGTCCGCATCGACGCGACTGCAACATCGAGATCGTTGTCCAGAACTCCAAGGAACAACAGTCTATAATTTGTCCATTGGAGCGGAATACGAGCGACGGCATTGAAAAGGCCCAACAAGCACTGCCCCAAAGACAACGCGCGTTGCTCCCATTAGAAATGGCAACCAATCGAGGCGGCAGCGGTGGCTACTCCCCGGGCCCCGGTGATCCGCTGCTGGCCAAGCAGAAGCATCACCATCGACGCGCATTCGAGTACATTTCCAAAGCTCTCAAAATCGACGAGGAGAACGAAGGTGAGTAGGTATTCCTTTCATGGGGTTGCTTTGTCTTGGCCCCTTGGCTGGCTGCTGGAGTGGTGTGCTTTATGAGTCATCAGACGCAGCGCGCGCTTTGTTGTCATACTTGTTGTATAAGCTAGAGGTGAGCGTGTCTCTCGTGTTACACGCTGCAATGGGAGCTAAAACTGTTTACATAAATATATACTATAGTAAATATTTCTTAAAATTAAACCAACTTAATGCTAAGCATTGGCTACTGTTGGGTCTTCGGCTTGTAGTATATATATATATATTGATTAGTTTTGAATATGTTCGTATGCATATATTTTAATTCTTAATTTTTTATTCAAACAAGTTTCTGCTACATTTAGTGGCAACGTAATTTGATTTAGCATTTCCCTTTATTACACGTTATTCAAAATTCGTGTTTCCCTAGATAAGCTGTGATATTAAGTCGTGTCACGGAAAAGCACGCGCTCAACTCTAATCGCATTGTCGTTGAGAATCGATACTAGCAAGCACACACAGCCACACACACGCACACATATGTGGATCTATGTTATTGATACCTGCTCTTTCCCCTTTCAGGCCACAAGGAGCTGGCCATTGAGCTGTATCGCAAGGGCATCAAGGAGCTGGAGGATGGCATTGCTGTTGACTGCTGGAGCGGACGCGGTGATGTCTGGGATCGCGCCCAGCGCTTGCACGAGAAGATGCAAACTAATCTCTCCATGGCACGCGATCGTCTGCACTTTCTCGGTAAGTAACGGCTGGAGGAATAGCTGCATCCGCGAACCACTTCAATCGTAGTGTAATCTTTTATTTTGTTATTTGAATTTTCTTTTGTTTACTTTTGCACCTTTGTTTGTCATTGTGTTTGCACCTATTTTTTGTTTTGTTTTATTGTCCCCCCGGCCCCGTCCAATCGCATCCTCATTCCTCAGCTTTGCGTGAGGAAGATTTGCAAATGCAACGTTTGTCCCTGATGGATCCGCCAAAGAACAAGCAGCAGGTCACATCGAAATTCAAGCAACCCATGCTCGTGGGCCAAACGAATAGCAAAGCGACGGCCGTTGAGCCGCCAAAGATAACAATGCGCAGCAGCGGCTATGGACCCAAACCCGTCAGCGGCACGGGGTCCAGTGCAGGCACCTCGAAAGCCTTGCAAGCGGGTAAGTGCCGTAACATTTAATGCGACTGCAACAGCCGCAGCAGCAACAATGCTAAATACTAAAGCACCGCCCAGTCAACAATAAGAGACAGCAACAACAACAAGAACTATCAGATCAACAACGACAGCAAGCAATCAAAATCAACATTTTCCTCACTCTCTTTCGCTCTTTCGCATTTCCATCACAAACGTGCACTGCATGAATTTTCATTTTTACTTTTGAATTTCGAATTTTGATTAGTTTTTGTCTGATCTAAGCTAGTAAATTACGCCCAGCAATAAGCAGTTGCAATTCAGTTACTAATTGAAGTCTCAACTCTAGCATCTGGTCGCAAATTAACCATTGGCAACAAGCGCCCCGGCAATCTGGCCGTCGCTAACAAGTCACAAACGCTGCCGCGCAATCTTGGCTCGAAGACGACCTCCACATACGTGGGCGCTGCCCTGCAGCGTCAGCCGGGCAAAACGGCAGCGACTCCACCGGCTGTGCGTCGCCAATTCGTAAGTCTCTCAGGTCAATCGCATTAGCTCTATATAATTCATATCTATCTCCCGCAGTCATCGGGACGTAATACGCCGCCGCAGCGCTCACGCACGCCCATCAACAACAATGCAGCCAGCGGCAGTGGCAGCGGCAGCGGCGCCAGCACGCCCATGATAAGTGTAAAGGGTGTGGAGCAGAAGTTGGTGCAGATCATAATGGACGAAATAGTTGAGGGTGGCGCCAAGGTGGAGTGGACCGATATTGCTGGCCAGGATGTGGCCAAGCAGGCGCTGCAGGAGATGGTCATATTACCATCCGTCCGTCCTGAGCTCTTTACAGGTAAGCCGTAACACCTTTAATTAGTCTCTGCAACAGTTTTAACGCTTTCGTTTTTAGGCCTGCGCGCACCTGCCAAGGGTCTGCTGCTGTTCGGACCGCCAGGTAATGGCAAAACGTTGTTGGCACGCGCCGTGGCCACCGAGTGCAGTGCGACATTCCTCAACATCTCGGCTGCCTCGCTGACCAGCAAGTACGTGGGCGATGGCGAGAAATTGGTGCGCGCTCTGTTTGCGGTGGCTCGCCACTTGCAGCCATCGATAATATTTATTGACGAGGTCGACTCGCTGCTCTCGGAGCGCAGCAGTAACGAGCATGAGGCGTCGCGTCGCCTCAAAACTGAATTCCTGGTTGAATTCGATGGGCTGCCAGGCAATCCGGAGGGCGATCGCATTGTTGTGCTGGCGGCGACCAATCGTCCGCAAGAGCTGGACGAGGCTGCATTGCGTCGGTTTACCAAGCGTGTCTACGTATCGCTGCCCGAGGTACAGACACGCGAACTACTATTAAGTCGTCTGCTCCAGAAGCAGGGCAGTCCGCTGGATACGGAAGCTCTGGCACGTTTGGCGAAAATAACCGATGGCTATTCGGGCTCCGATCTAACCGCGCTGGCCAAGGATGCCGCCTTGGAGCCCATACGTGAACTAAACGTGGAGCAAGTCAAGTGTCTGGACATCAGCGCTATGCGCCCCATCACCGAGAAGGATTTCCATAATTCGCTGAAGCGAATACGCCGTTCAGTGGCGCCGCAAAGTCTCAACTCGTACGAGAAATGGTCGCAGGATTATGGCGACATTACCATTTAGTTTGGTTGCGTTTCGTATTGTAATTCCTTTGACGTTCAAATTTGTTTGTTTATTTTTTTTTTTTCTTTGGTGAAACCCACCCAACTACAGATGCTTGGCATATATGCCCAGCGGGCAGTCCAAAGCTAAACACAATTGCAGAAACTAGGCCACCACGCCCACTTCTCCACGTCCATGGCCACGTAGGCACACACAGCTTTAGAGGCCGACCCGAACGTATTGTGATGTGAGTGACGGAATTTAAATTTTGTTGTGTTGCTCGTGCTGCGTTGCACTTGCAACGTGCAGCATGCAACCGCATTAGTTTTCATCATTGACTCGTATTTTAAATAATTTTCAAGAGCGTTTCATTAGGAGTTTAGATTTTATCTTCGTAGTGTTTAATTGTTTTCACGATTTTTGTTGATTTATGTATGAATATGGAAATGTAATTGAAATCATTTGTTTAACATTTCTCTCATACAAGTTGAGTGTATTTAGGATATATGTTTAAGAATATTGTACGAAAAATTGTCATTCTAAGTTTTCTTTTAGTAATGCTATGTTAAAACACGGTGCCGAGATCATAGTACATGTGAATTATTAATAATAAGCGATACTGTCAAACATATTACTGCAAACTATACTCATTGATTTGTCTTATTCAAGATCTGTATACTTATTGCATTAGCATATTAAGAATATTTAATTTATGATTTTTTCCTAACTTCATATTATTCAATAATACTTTTTGCAACTGCTCACGAGCATTCCATGTAGTTGAAAATTGTTTATTATATTTATTTAACTTGTTTAGGGGCTCAACAGCCTTACTATATACTTCCAATTGAATACTTAGCCTGTTATAAAGTTTATGCCATAGACACTACCATTAAAATAATAAAATTTGTTTTTAGTGAACATCCAATCCTCAACTATAATTACACGTAATCGTAGATATAAGCATAGCCCTAAGGTAAAAAGTGCATCGATTCACAAATACATGAGTGTACCGATTAGATTTTAGTTCCTTAATTAATGTACAATAGCTTATATATTTATATTTTGTCGTTTGTTTACATTTCACGGAGCTCCGTTTATAGATGCCTACACGCTTACACACAGATATCATTTATAGAATCGTTACCAAATTATTGTACCTAGAATTATTTCATTTGCTTACGACGCTAATTAACAGCTTTATGCAGCGCCGGACCATTTCAGTTGTTTAGCGCCCGATCGCCAGACACAACAATCCAAAAATATTACATAAGCTAATGCGGAAAATAAAGAAAAAAAAAAGATTTAAAGAAAATATATATATTTTAAAATTTTTTATGGGTGGTTAATATTTCAAATGATCAGTATTTATAATCCGCAAAATGATGAAACTAAATTTAATATTGCTTATAATAAGCTCTGCTGTGCGGCCAATATCAATGAGGTATCGATGGTATTAATGGGACTACATCAATTTTTTTACCCCGAAAAGTTTGATATTTCGGTTTCAGATAACATAGTAGTATACATATACTATACTATAGTATATAGGATAGAGCCGTATAGGTCCCGCAGAGCACGCAACTGACTCTGACATCGTAGTTGCCGTAATATAGGGCAGGCTTTGCAAATATACAATAAATTATCCCTTTGCACTAAAAATAAATTAAATATAACAGAATATACAAGTATTATTCTTATATGCAACTGTGAGGCAAAACTTTTCATTGAAATTCTGGTATGTGTCTTGGGTAAACAGGGAACAGTTTAATGTATAAATAACAGCAAAAGACGATCCAATATTGTGTGTGTCGGGTAAGAAGTTGGTCAGCTTAGGTATAAATTCTGTGTATAATGAAAATATTATACAAATTAAAGCAACGTGCCAAATGTATAAGCAATGCTGCTTAGAGGTAACGAAACAACCAATTAGGGAAACTGAATTTATTATTTATTTATTGACAATGCTATTAAAATTTCTGATCAAAAGCACTTTACGTTATTTAAGATTTGGTTTCGATTCAGTATAAATTTTTCTGATACCCACCAGGCCTGGGCGGCTGAAGAAATGCTGCAGCTGCTTCCCTTTATATAGGGCGACTTTCACTCAAAGCGTAAGTCGCGCTCAAATGTTGAGGCCGGCGCCAGGTAGGGATCGTTGCAGCCGACCTTTAAGTGACCAATGGGAGCACTCTCTGCTACTGCAAGTAGTAGAGCTTTAATGGGAACATTCTTTGCTGCTGTATTCAGTCTAGCTTCGTTTTACTTAAATATAAATGCCAAATGAGTACTGCTGCATACATATAGACCACTTAAATAATCTTCTGTAATTCTTTTTCGTCCATTGCTGGTTTTATAGTTCTATTAAAAATCTCATTTTCAATACATTTATATCACTTTCAAATAAGCTAGATTCCGTCTGCTTTGATCTGTTGCAGGTCGATTAACAGAAGGAGCTAGGAGAGTTTGTGCATGCCTTTTATGCCTTTTCTAGACGTAGGAGGAACGGCACATTACGTCAGGCATAAAAACTGTTCTCAAAAATTAAACCACATTCTTGGCAATCTCTCAAGCAACAGACCATGATATCGATACCAAGCACACTCTGCTCTGAAAGTAAATTTCTTTTAAAAGTTTATAACTATCGATATATACATGTATGTTGCCGATATGTCGATAGAATTTGCAATTTACTATATTGTTAACGGGCACACTGTTGCATATGCACGTGTAAATAAGTTATTTGTTCGTGTTATACAAACTCGCTAGAAATGGTAAGTAAATATATGCAAAGATATTGTAATCGCTATTAAAAACAATATTGACTTTTAGCGTAAGAAACAGACAGATGAAATACCAGGCTTTCCGTCATTGGAACAAAGTGGCACCAGTGGCGGCAACGATGATATTCTTAAAACCAAACCTAAATCGAAAAAGAGCGGTGGCTTCCAATCGTTGGGTTTGGGATTCGAGTTACTGAAGGGTATAACTAAACGTGGCTATAAGGTGCCCACTCCCATTCAGCGAAAAACCATTCCATTGATTTTGGAGGGACGCGACGTTGTTGCCATGGCTAAAACAGGCTCCGGCAAAACCGCCTGCTTTCTAATCCCTTTATTCGAAAAGTTGCAACGCCGCGAGCCCACTAAAGGTGCACGTGCCTTGATCCTATCTCCAACGCGAGAGTTGGCGGTGCAAACGTATAAATTCATCAAGGATCTCGGCCGATTTATGGAACTGAAGACGATCCTAGTGCTGGGCGGTGATTCCATGGACTCGCAATTCTCAGCCATTCACACATGCCCAGATATTATTGTGGCTACGCCTGGTCGATTCCTGCATTTGTGTGTGGAAATGGATTTGAAGCTAAACTCAATAGGTAAGCGTCCTATCCATATACCTAATATGCCGATTGTAATTTATACCGGATCTATTGTAGAGTACGTGGTCTTCGACGAGGCAGACAGGCTCTTCGAAATGGGCTTCGGCGAGCAGTTGAACGAGACGCTGCATCGCTTGCCATCCTCGAGACAAACGGTCATGTTCTCGGCAACGCTGCCAAAACTTCTGGTTGAATTCGCACGGGCTGGTCTCAGCGATCCTGTGCTCATCCGTCTGGATGTTGAGTCGAAGCTGCCAGACACACTATCTCTTAAATTTCTTTATTGTCGACCAGATGATCGCTACACTGCGTTGGTGGTGCTGCTAAAATATGTGATTCCTCAAGAGGCTCAGACAGTCGTCTTTGCCGGAACACAACATCACGTCGAGCTCATTTCATTTGTGAGTCAAATCTAATTCAATCTTAAATGCAATCTCTTATTTTGCTTCCCTTTCAGATACTTACTCATGCGGGCATATCAAATACCTCAGTGTATTCCAGTTTGGATCCAGCTGCCCGTAAAATCAATACTGCTAAATTTGCCAGCAAAAAGGTTTCGGTTCTCATCGTCACAGATGTGGCTGCACGTGGCATTGACATACCCAGCTTGGACTATGTAGTAAACTTGCATTTCCCTGGCGTGCCAAAGCTGTTTGTGCATCGCGTGGGCCGTTGCGCTCGTGCCGGACGCACTGGCACAGCCTACTCTATATTCTCCACAGACGACACAGCTCACTTGCTGGACTTGCACTTGTTTTTAAATCGGCCGTTCAATATCAATGATAACGCATCTATTGGCACCATACCACAGGACTTGCTGGAGGAGGAATACCTGACCGTGAACGAAATCAAGAAGAGCCATCATATAGTAAGATGTTTAATATATAACCTATAGTATTATTTACTTTAATATAAATTTAAATTAATAGGCAGGCGTATTGCGGACAAGTGAAAATGCATACAAGAAGTACTTGAGCTCGCGTCCTACAGCATCTACAGATGCGAATGCTCGTGCCAAGAAGATCAAGTTCTTTGCTTTAAAGACACTCGAGGACTTCTTTAACGCCGCGCCTGTGCTGGAGCAAGCTGCTAAAATTTCTGGCCAGAAACTGGATGATGAGTCTAGGGCCGATGTTGCGGAGTGCGAGCGTAAATTGGAAAATGAAAAACACGATATCTTAGTCAAGATGCGGAACTTCCGACCGAGTGGTGTAAGTTGTACCTGCAACTAGCCAGAATATCTTGATATATAATCATATCTATTCTTATTAGACAATCTTTGAATTGAATACGACTCAAAAGTCGGTGCCTTTTGTTGTTATGAAGGACAAACGTTCACATCACACAGAAGTCATTGAAAAGTTTCGCCAACAACGCGCTAAGGAGGACATCGATGAGGTGCAAAAGGTCGTGGATGCCCAGAAGCCAAGCACCATTTCAACAGCTGATGATGAGTCGATTTCCAACACATTTAAAAAGGTCGTCGCGCCAAAAAAGCGACAGAATATGGATGCTCTATACGCTGACAAGCCTAAGAAGAAGAAACGCAAAGTGCAAGTCAAGGATGAGGAGAACTATGTGCCTTATCAGTCGGCAGATAAACACACCGAAGATGGCCTCGCCATCAACTCGTTCGAACGTCAAGCACGGAACGCCGAGTTCTCTGTTTACGAACGCAACCCAGCACAGGATGTGAAGCACAAGCCGGGACTCAAGAAATGGGATCGAATCAAAAAGAAAATGGTCTCCGTTCAAGATCCGCGCGCAAACAAAATACGCACAGAGTCCGGCGCTTGGATACCCGCTTCGTTCAAGACAGGTCGCTACACCGAGTGGAAGGAGAAGTCGAAGATCGAGGAGCAGTTGCAGCGTGAAAACGCGGGCAGCGACGACGAGAACTTCAAGCCGCTGTCTCATGCGCAACGCTATCCTGTGGGCCGGCACGCTCGCTACAATGCCAAACTGGAGTTGAAGAAGCGCATCAGCGGAAACGACAAGGAGCTGCGGAAGCCGGAACAGATTGTAAAGTCGCGAATGCGTCTGGAGTTCATCAAGAAGCGTCAAGAAGAAAATATCGCCAAAAAAGCTGAAAACCGCAAGCGAAGCATGCGTAAAAATCAGAGGCCAAAAGCAGCGCCACAGAAGAAAGCCGGCAGCACCAAGAAACGCAAGTAATCCCGGATGAATAGGCAATGGAATATTTTTTAGATGAGCTGAAATAATCTGATAGCTGTACATAAATAAAGACTATACTTTTATATGCCTAGCGATCATTGTTGCCACAAAATAATTTCTTTTCCAGCACTCTTGACACTCCAGCATGAACTATAAATACATCCTGGAGAGCTGGCCTCCAGATGTAGTGCTAATTTTAACGCATCCGCTTACGCCCATCCGTTCACTTGAAGTGCCTGGCACTGAGCCTTCGTCTGTCAAGTCAAGCAATTAGCGGGTGCTGGAGAACATTTTCCATATCTCGGAGAACGGAATCGAAATCAGTGAGAGCCGCATGGATAAGTGATTATCATACCACAACAATTTACGCAGTGTCTGTCGTAACTGAATTGAGTGAGGGTTGAAACTCTGAATACCTGGCACACGTGCACCCACCGAAACCCCAAGCTGCTTAAGTAATTTATAAACTGTGAAAGCAGAGTGAGAACTAAATAAATGAGTAAGGCAGTGGAAGGAACGCTTCCTATACCAATTTAGCAGCTTAACAATAAATGCGGATGCGCTAAGTAGAGCAAAGAAAAATGGAATACATCTAGTTTTGAATGTCTTACGGCAATCTGGCTAACACCCACAATTAACGCAAAAGGCCTGACCTGAGGTTAAACAAGCGAGCGGCAAGCCTGTTGTATCCCTGCCCGAAACATGACCTAAATGAGCATTTAGACAATGGCCCAGAGTGTGCGTGTGACAAACGTTAGCTTGTTGCTGTACGTGTGCGTATACATATATATGCGAGTGTGTGTGTGTGTGTGTGCATGTGTACAATACAATTTAACAATTCCAGGAAAGCCGATTGTTAGGGTGCGTTACTTCGGCCACACCTAGAGTCGAACTCCAAGCCCAAACTCTAACCAAATGACACGCACATTCATTCGATGCGAGGAGGACTAGGGCAAATGCAAACTCGTGCGTGTGCGCATCTCTTGCAAAACATTAGTAATTACTTTGTGCTTAAAAGTCCTATTTTTTTGGGTTTATATATTAATGAAAATCAACCCGCTGTCAGATCACTCATCTCCGTCTAATAGATCATTGACTCGAAGACCTCTGCCCGCATTACCAGCAGCAGATGGTGTCAGAGTCACGCTGAGCGCAAGCCACAATTTGAATGAACCCACTGTTGCTTGGCCCACCACCCTTAGGCCCGGCTCATGCATGACTGTACTGATTACTGCAGATGGGGGTGCATGCCATACATACAAATATATATATGTATATACATATATATTCAATGCAAGCCAGGGTCACATGCTGCCAGCGGACGTCTGTCTATCTGTCTGCCTGGCTACGTAAGTGTGTGTGTGTGTGTGTGTGTGTGTGTGTGTGTGTGTATGTGCTTGACAAACATCCATATATGCAGCAGCAACCCTCTGACACACTTCGCGTCACTCATATTTCATGCTGTTGGACTCGAAAGACTTTACTCTTCACACCCCCACCCCATCATTTAATGGGAGTGGCACTACGAATGCCTGAAAGACCATGAATAATCGAGTTTCCAATGCAAACAAGACACTCTGGCATTGGTTCACACGTGTTTGTATTTTTTAAAACTGGATTCCTTATGCTATTTCATAGAACATTATGTTTATTCTCTCGCTTTATATTACTATTGTGTTTTTATGCTTATTCCCTTAATGCTGTAATTTCGCAATATTTCCACTTCGAAATAGATTAGTACACTATTAAAGATATTGCTCCAATCGCAGGCCACGCCAAAGATCGGGCAACCAGCAGGGCGCACCCAGAGGGGTCGTCAGTGTTTGGATACACCTAAAATACCTGGACAAAATGCATGGGGAGAATAAATAGTGTCTCTCTCTTTAATGTGCGCATATATACATTTACATATATATTGTATATATTTAGATGGACTTTTAAATGCCTCTTGCATTCCATAAGCATATTTTGAGAACTTAAAGTGGAACACAAAGAAGTTGAATTCACGCCCAAACAGGCAGCCAAATGTCGCCCCTCTTCGATGTGGAGCACATCGCCTTCAGTTTGGGGAACTCTAGCGACTAAAAATACCCACATTGGGGGATGCTCCCCATCTGTAAAGCCAGAAATTCCTGCTTTGCAAGTGCAGTGCCGTTAGCCTTTTATCGCGCTGTTCACAATTATTTCTTCTTAGTTTTTGCTTTATGGGGCAACGGGAAGTAGTTCTTGGTTTATGTGCGCGCCTTCACATCAAAGTTGCTTCCCCTTTCATTTACTTTTACTTAACATTTGTCACAACTAAATGTGTTCCCAAACCTATTCGCATCACAATATACCCTGGAATTAGATACAATCATTTTATGGAATGTGGTTGCCTCTTCTTTCTATAGAGAGAAGCAATTTTCCCTCCTACATCCCCCATCACGTTTCGTTGGCCAAAAGAATCTGGCGCCTGGCCTACATTAATAAATTAGTCAACAAATTTATGATTTTCCCCCTTCTAACATATGCAAGACTATGAAGACAATGAAATTGTTTGTTCGACGCTGCATTTTGCATATCTCCATCTCTTTCTTTTGTGTTTTTCAATGAAACACAACAGATGTAATCGCAATTTTATTAATTTCTCAAGTGGCTGCCCGCTGTCAGAGCGACTCCCACTCTCCTTGACTGCTTGGTATATCTTGTCCACATGTTTACAATCAGCCATCGTCTAGGTAGGTAAGCTTATTGAATAGACTTCATCCATAGGACAATGGAGTAAAAAGATATTTCTCAACAAGATGAGATCTCTCTTTGAACTTTCAATAATTTAAAATTAAGTTTAAAGTTTGAGCTTGTAATTTATGTTTATACTAGCTGGCCCGGCAAACGTTGCATTGCCCTCTATATTATTTCTAGGTAAAAAATTGTTGAAAGCTATGTTGTTCAGGCTGGGATACACTGATAAATTTATTAATCGGATTTTCATTCAAGCACCTTGTTGTAAACGACATTCTTCGTTTTTTGGTCGGGTGCAAGAACAAATAATGCGGATCGTTTGCCAACACGTGAGCATGCCACGTACAATTGACCATGAGAAAAACACGCATTTTCTAGATTGAGGCCACAAATAGTCAAAGATTGGCCCTGTGACTTGTTGATCGTCATGGCGAAGGCAAGACGAAGCGGGAATTGAATTCGTTTAAATTCAAAGGGCATANTGTCAAAACTGTCACTGTTACCAAGCCTACTGGGTATAAAAAAAATTTGAACATTTGGGGAAAAAACCGCGTTTTTCAAGTATTCGGCAAATTTTTTCAGTATGTTTAAGACCCTATACTAAGCTCGTTGCGGAGACAAATCCAACAAATCAAAAACCATGAAAATTGGTTCAGCCCAAATCAAGTTATAAGCAGTCTTCACTTTTACACAACTTTCTTTTATATATATAGATTTAATTATTTTTCATATCATTTGGTATAACATATTTGGCTGTGATATATTATACCCAATCAACACATATTAAAAACAAGAGGGTATATATTAAATAATCACATATACAATGCGCTAATGTTTCACTTATTAATCTTTAAATTATAGCCGATTCATTTCTTTTACAGTTTTTTGCTCTCATATTTTATATCAATTAGCTTAGAGACTGATGTTTATTTTCATATTACTTCAGGTTTTTATATATAAATATTTATTTATTCAAATACTGAATATTTCTTGATAAGAAAAAATACGAATATTTGAAGTTCATATATTCAACGAAATTTTATATGTCACACAAACTTATGGAAATTGTTGTTTTCGTTATTGGATTAGTCACACAATGTATTTAAATTTAGAGTATATGTAGTAAGAATATTTGTTATTTCTAAATTTAAATTTTAATATACTGCCGAGCATCTTTGAAAGGGATTTCCTCTTTTTCTGCATAGAAAATCTTGAGAATTTTAATTACTTGAATGATTTGGTTCGTTTAAGCTATGGGCCACTGTATGGATATAAGCATATGCATATGTGTATGCAATTGCATATACATGTCCAATGTGCATATGTATTCCAAATAGTGGAATGCAGCATAAAGTGCGGTACAGCTAATTGGCTCCTCTGCAGGGACAGATTGTTGAACTGTCGCCATGGCCACTCATCATTGGCAGCTGGACCACTTGACGGGCATAATCGGCGGCATAGCATCTTATCTTGTTTTTTTCATACATATTTCTATGCTTGTAATTTATATCTGTATATGGATATATGCTTTGTTTGTGTGCGACTGCAACGCTTTGTGACACACTTGGAGTTCATGTCTAATTTGGGCTGTCTTAATCCCGCATAGTTGACGGCCACTTCGACAATTGCACAATTTACTGAAGAATGCTTCTCTAAGCGTCACTTAAAAACGCATTATTCAATTCAAAGAATTTTGTTGAGATGCAAACTAAATGTGTATGTCTGTCTCTCTGTGTATGTGGGCACTTAAAAAGTTGCAATATTCGCTTTCTAGTGAAAACTATATAAATAGAATCTCCTTAAGCAAATATAGCATGAGGACGTCCCTTTCCTTTAGAGAGTCGGAAATCATTTTGACTTTCCGCATTAGATGACTCATTGCGATTTAATGTTTTGGGTGGTTTCTTTTCTTGTTGCTATTCCTTGTGTATGCTATTTTAATCAATGAAGGGCATTGCAAAGATAAATGTCTCGCAAATCTCGTCAATGGGGCAGTCGACAGTCAGCACTTTCTGTGATAGCCAATTATAATATAAATACAACCATATACATATGTGTTATATATGTATATGTACATATATATTTAGTATTCTAAGGCATASAAATCAAGGGTTGGTGAACCCTGAAAGGAACCTGGTTAGTGGATCTAATCTATTACCACTGTTCTCTGGTCAGTGCTATTACTTAGTGGTTAAACATAGCAAAAATTTAAATGCTCCGAAAATATGTATACTTTTTAAAATAATTGTAATACCCAATTAATAATACTTGGTCTTATAACTTAAAACAAATATACATGTAATAAAATATAATAATTCAAATTCGTTCGAACGAGCCTCATCGTGTATTTATCGATAGCACATGCGATAGTGTGACATCGCTAGGGTAAAATATCGAGAGAGGCATTAAGTATCATCCCTATCGTTCAGTAGCAACAAAATAATTGAACGAATTGGGTGTGTGCGTCGGTACCTAGCTGCTTCACGTAATTTGTTCGTGCAGTGGAAAACCAAAGCGATAGAAAAATAAAAGTTTTTATCGTGCAAATTAACAAAAAATAGGCGCTACGACAAATATAAAAATTCGTTGACGTATGCAGTATAGTTGCAAATACACCTACAGAAAGAAAGAAGTGTACGTGAGCGTCTTGTTTGATTTGCTGTGAATGTGTACGTGCGTGTATGTATGTATGTGTTAACATGCATAGTAAACAAAAAAGAAAAGAATACGCGAGACCAATTAAACAAATATTTGAATGCAATCAACATAAAGCTTTGATTAATATAAAGTGTATCATTTCAAATATTGAAACAAGTGTTGCCCGCTGTTGTCTAATGTCGATTTAAATAAAATTTAGCACGCTGATACACACAACCAAAGGCAAAACGAGATTTTTGCAAGCCGCAATTTGTGCTTGTGTTTACGTGTGTGTGTGCTTAGTGTGCTGTATACATTCATATATACATACATATGTACACTGTGCTCTTGCAATCGCTGTTTGCGTTTTTCGTTTGTATGTGTTTGTTTTGCAACAACAAAAGAAACATCAGTAAGCAACTTAACAGTGAGCTGTATTTCTACGCATTTGACACTTTAAATAAGCAAATATTTAGTGTGACCGCATACAATTCACTTGCAGCTTGTTTTCGTTCGTATTTTCGGATTGCACACTGTCCCAGCAATTGTGCGATTGCGATTGCCATTGTGGGTGTGTGTTGTGAATGCGTGTGTAAGAGAGCGAAACATCAAAATTGAAAAAAATTTTCGCCCCGTTTGTTTGTGATTTCTAATAACAATACTCGACATCAAGTGAAAGTGTAAAAGTTAAAAAAATTGTAACATTTAACAGCCAACAGCGTCTAAAACTGCAAAAGAGGAAAATCATAAACAACTGTTGAAATATTGCACAAACTTTGGATTACCCTGCACAACCAGGAATTAATACTCGTTGCTTGCAACTGTTGCAAATCTAAAGGTAATCATAACACAACTGTATTAATACATATATAGACATGCGTACATATACACTTGCACATATATACAAATTCACACACACACGCATATATACCTGCAAGCACTTGTTTTGGCTCTTTCGCACAAGTTTTTGTTTTTGTTTTCTTTTTTTTTTTTTCTTTTTTTTTTTTGCTGTCGCGTTTATATCTCTTGGCTGCCAATCGGTCGTTAAATATGTTGATGAATAATAACTATGAGCGCCTGACTATGAAATACCCTGTGAATAAATGTCTTAACTTATTTTTCCCACCACTCTGCACATTTATTGTTGATTAATAATATCCGATAATTAAAAGAATTAGCTTTGGACTTTTATGAAATCCCCAGCCATAAATAACTATTTTTGTTGCCGTTCTAAAATCGATTTGGTTATCAGTAAATTAAAATAAACTTTATCTTTATCGGCCTCGAGTGGCGATAACTTATATCTTATGCTTGAAATCTATTCGTTCTATAGTCTATGAGGTCGGAATCAGTCCAATTTAGGTAAATTGACTCGACTGTTGATCGACAATATATTGTACTTTATTGTATGCGCAGATGTTTCTTTAAATCTGTCGATTATTTCGAGTAACGCAGTAAAGAATTGTTTACTCAGATTGTAAAATGAAAATTGGATTAATATGTTAAACATATTCGCTTGAAATCGGTGCTGTCCATAATTACATCGATTATATACCGGCTCGTAGCCTACTTCCTGTCTGCTTAGCCGTTCTTATATTGCGCCTTGTACACATTTTTTTTTTTTTTTTTTTGACGACCTTTTGTTACTGAAAATAGATTATATACATACATATGTATAAGTTGTGTGATGTATAAGTACATCGTTTATTTGAATTTTGTAAGACATTGCTGAAGTCCTTTCAATGACTTTGTACTAAAAAATAAAATATTTTAGATATGGTATTTTATAATATTATTATATGATATGCACATAAATAAAAAATGAAAAGATACGTATACTTATAACTACAATTACAAAAACTAATTAATAATATTTTATGTTGTATAAATATGTGTATGATATATTTTATTATAAATGTAGAGCTGTAATAAAAGTATAGTACACAAAAATCTCGTCGATTGCTTCAAGTTTTTCCATTACTAAATTTTTTCTGCTGTTTGCATCGGGCTCAATTTTTCTAGACAACAAAGGCGCATTGTTCGCCAAGGCAGTGAGGAAAAATGGAAATCAAAAGGAAAGCTTGGTAAGGGAATAGTTTTTTATTTATTTTTTTTTTATTTTATTTTTTTTTTAAGAGTTTCACTGTACTTGCTCAATAATGTTGCCACGTGCTGGTAGATACACACGCATTCACTGACATGTGACATTTAAGTAATTGTTGTCTATGAAGGCGAATTTCACGTTTCCTGGTTTAATTGCTGGCTATTGACCGCTTATCGATACACACAAATGCATCATATATGTATGTGTTTGTAGGTATGTATAGATTGGCTGCTGTATATGCAGTGAGTACACTCGACCTAACGCCCAGCTGCAAGCATTCTTCTTGCACCCTTATTGCGATCGCATTCATCAAGCTGCTATTATCGTTTATTTATCAATTTATCTGAGCTTTTCTCTCTCGCTCTTGCTCTCTCTCTCTCTCTCTCTCTTTCTGATTCGCCCTCTAATTGTATTGTGTTTTAAAAGCTTTATGAAAGTGAAACTTTGTTTTTTTTTCTGTTTTGTTTGCCGAACGTAAGCTAATATGTAATGTAAAATTCAGCAACGACCTTACGCAGTCACACAGAGCGGGTATGTCGTTGAACTCTTTCAAGCACAACAGCAACAACAACAGCATAACAAACTGTGAGTACGAAAATACCGACGAGGTGCAAAACAAAATTAAATGCATATGTTGTATACAAAACTTTACCGTTGTCTCACCACACACTCGACGTTCACTCATACATAAGCAATTGCGTTATAAGCCAAAGCTCGGCTTGCCGTCGGCGTCGTCGTCGTGGAGGCTTCGTTTCTCTTTGTTTTCGTTTTGTATTCGTTTCGGATTGCTCTTCGACGAGCGTTGTTTAGGCTTCAACTGTAAATTCATTCCGTTTTGCTCAAATAGCATGGCTTAATTGATCGTTTTTTCTTCCTTCTCTTTTCTCGAAAGTTCAACACAACTTGAGCAACTTTAGCGTTAATTATTTATTTGTAAACATTGATCAAACTGAAATTCTGCCTTCTTTTACGGGGTATCTTCTAGCTGAGCAAAATAACTTAGGTAACTTTTGCGTTAATTATTTATTCGTAAACATTGATCAAATCAACAATCACTTTGCATTCTTCTGGAATTCTCAAGTGTACGGAGTATCTTCTAGCTGAGTATTAGGTATACTTTGATGTCTTGTTTTTATAATTTGTTTCATTCTATTTGTATTTCTCTTCTTTGCCGATATTTATTTCCCATTGCGTAACGTAGCGGAGCTTTAACGAAAACAGATTTATTTCTCTGAAATCAGTAAAAAGATGAATAATACGAAATGGGTGAGTGACATAATCACTGAAATCGTCTTAGTCTCCCCTTTAGTCAAAATTGACCAACACTTCAAACAAATTGTTGCCTAACAGCCGCAGACAGTGAGCTAAATATGTATGTGAAGCGAGCAAATTTTGTTTGTTGTTCAATCCAAAAAAAAAAAAAAAAAACGTTACTAAGCCAATGGCAAAGCCCAAGCGAACCAGTTTGGAATTTCAACTAATGATTTCCGACATTAGAGTGCCTGAAACCTGTCGCTCTCAGAGCCTCCACCTGTTTAAATACGAATTCCATTCTCTTCATTGGCTCCACTCAAATTTCTGATTTCGAAGAAAACAATAGAGCGAAGAGGCAAGCCCCATTAGCCGCCGACTATTAAATACACTTTTCAACATATGCCAAACTTGCTACATAGTTGGGTTAGTTGTATGATTGATATGAGATATTTGGCCGAAATGGACGCCATTCATAAAGTAAACTTTATAGTCTAGTTGCTGAATGCTACCACAAATGCAAGACAATCGAAAAGTCATTATCATATAATCATCATATAATTAAACAGTTAAAGTTTTCAGGAAATGGCTTGTCGATAATTGTGCATGGAGATTTTTGATTATATACATATTGCCTTAAGCTTATATAAATGTTTCAAACTAAATAAAATAAAGATAAGGAATGTCTGGGAACTAAAAACCTAGTTTCAAATTCAATTTTTTACTTCGTATAATAATATAATAATAAATATATAACAATATATTATAGTTTAAATTTACAATTTTATTTTGAATTGTAAATTCAAACTACAACAATTATTTTTTAAAGTGTACATTTCGATTTGACCCAGCTATGCGCCATCCAGCCGAATGCTTCGCTTCATTTGTACTTCTGCTGCAATGGATGTCTGAGAGCTGTCCCTTCCCGCATTTTTACTTGATTACGCACCCAATGCATTTCATCCATTTATTGCTGTTGTTTTTGTTGTTGCTTTTTCCCATTGTAGTAGTCAGTCAGGCAGAGAAAAGATTGTTTATGAGGCGATAAAATGAGCGACGAGGTTGGGGATCAAATTCCTATGTAGAGAATTTCTGGGCCTCACATGTGCGGGCAATAACCAAACAAGCGCAAGCCATTGTTTTGACCAGAACAGAACCGAACAGAAAATTTCACATCATTTGACTTTACAAATTTGACTCCAAAAAGAAATATTTTTGAAATGTATTAAAGTTGTTTGCACAATGAATAGATCAGCCAATTTACGTAGGTAAGAGCAATATTTATCTATAAAGAACTATACTTATAAAATGTCTAATTCAGCAATCTGATTTATATATTAACTAATCTTTGCATATGAACATTTCTTTAGAAAAGTCTTAATCAAGAGATATAAATTTCACTATTTTTCAAAATAAAAAAGATTCTTGGCATTGTTTATCACTATAATTGATGTATTTTCAAGATGATTACAAAACCCAAGGGGTTTGCACACTGCAAAATATATGTATCTAGAATTTTAATTTCCAGTTTTCAAACAGATTTAAATCGATTGCGATATTTTGTTTATTTTATTTCTTTGTTTAAGTTTTTTTTAACGATATTGTGGTCAACCGATGGAATATCAGTTCTAAATATATTCGAAAGTCAAACAAGCTCTCTAATAAGTTATTCAAACTATATATTGTAGACGATATATTTCGTCAGCAGTTCTGTGTGATCTGTGTGACATCCAACAATACGAAATGCCCTCTCTTTCTTGGTCTTTCTCTTTCGCATGCTGCAACTGCGGCGACAACAAATGGAAGAAGCGATGCATAGAGCATGCGAAAGTGAAAGTCATCGTCAGGTGTTTGCATATATGTATATATATTTTGTCTGGGGAGTTCCAGATTAATATTGTTTTATATTCTGCTTCGCTTGATTAAACGTTTCTTTTATACAATAATTCAAGTTCAGGTAGTCTGTAAAACTGGAAAAGCATTGCAGTTGTATTCAAAAGGAAGTTGTAAAGTCCCTCATATACATATTAATTGAATATATTTTTTATAAATGTTAAAAAATGGTATTTTTCTTTTTTTTTTATTATTATTAATAATCTAAGTTTGTTATCATTGCTAATTTCGACCTAGTCGCATTTTCAWTTACTTTTTGACGAAGCGCACAAGCTAACAGAGATCTATAATCGAGCAGTTATTTCGTTTTTCTTCGATAGCGACGCTTGCATCCATACGAGATGCGCATTAGCTTTGATATGGAACTGCATTGACGGCGGTGCAGGACGCGGCAGAGTTGAACTTGTGGGGAGCGTGCTACCCTCGCCAGGATGCGCTAGAAATCACCAAAGATTATAGATTATTCTGATTGCAGCTTGTGGAGTGGTTTACCTTTTTCTGGAACAGATTCTTTTGCCCCTGTGTCATGGCATCCCATTGGGCGGGAGCCTCCTGTAGCAGCCGACGGACTCCATATTTGGGATGCTTGCGCTTAAAGTAACGTAGAAAGTTGATATAAGGTAGCGGAGCTACCAAAAGTGGATTATCTAAAATATCACGGGCCAACGGAGCTTTGTACATTGTCTTGCCAATGAAACTGACTACAAACTGAATTTAATTTAATCCTGAGCCGATAACAAAATGAAACTATATTACATTTGTGTTCTGTAGTCTAACATCAACTGATTTATGACTTGAATATGGGCGAAGTCAGTTTGTCTAAGCCTGCTGAGAACCTTGCTCTGAAGCATTTCCATAAGGTAACTGTGACTGCAACCCAAATACACATATATCCTATACACATATGCATATGTATATGTGTATGCATATTTTATGCATGTAAATCGAAATATGTCGCATAAAATTATAATATTTTCAGTTTTCAGCTATGTTCAAGTCATATTATGAAAATTCCTCACCGAATTCTTTTGCATGCACAAACAAAACACTGTAGATGAGCGTAGAGAGAGGGAGGAGAGAGAGTTAGCATCCGTCATTATTGTCGAGCTCGAATACCTCGCATAATACGCTATAAATATATATATATATTTTGACTCACTTTTGAACTGAGAACTCGTCGCGCTCTCTCCCTCTGTCTAGGGTATATATGTATGTGTATATGTGTGTATGCAAATCATCATCACTTTTTTGTTATAAATAAATATATGCGCTTAGTAAATTGATGAAACGAGTCTGTGACATTTGCTCATTCGTCTCTCAGTGGCTGATAAGAAATTATATTATATTTTATTCAATTCCATTCCATTTTCGTCAGCTGCTCTATTCGAGCAAAGTCCACACTAAGACGCAAATCATTTTCAATTGCCGACACCGCACACTCTTGACTATCTGTCTATGTATATATGCGTTTATATATAATTTATATATAATTCATAATGCAAGCATATCAGAAGCAGCCCCCATTGGAGACTTGCTATATAAAAAAGTAAATGATAAATTCTGTCAAGTTTGTTTCCTGTTGCATAGCTGTCGACTGAGCTGAGCTGAGTTGAGTTGAATGAAGCATTGCCAGCTGCCCCGCCGATGCGGCAAGGGCTTTGTAATACTGAAATTTCCATCCGGCTTACAAAATGCACACACAAATAAGTATATATATATAGATATATTTAAATTTATATGTAGTTATGTTTGAAGCGTACAGTAATTCCGTTTTATATATGGAAATAATTTTACTATTATTATTRTGGCTGTGACGCCATCGCGAACACCCATTGAATATATTTAATATAAAACATATGCATATATACACATGCCACATTCCTGAATAGTACTTATGTGAACTTAAGACTATATATACAGATATATATAGACTACATTGGTATTTTAATTTGTTCAATTTGTGCAAATTGAGACCTTGCTTTTATTCTTTTTATTCTACTCTGAAATGGTTTTACTTCTTGTTACTTCTTGCCATATCTTCCGTATTTGAGATAAGTCTGATTCGCATTATTATGCACACTTACACAATTTGATAAGGAATTAGCAGAAATATGTTAATCGTTACGAGAAAAACAACTAAGTAAGAGCTAAAAGCTTTAGCCAGTTGCATTAAGTTTATGAAAACAAAGATATAGAAATGTTAAATATTTATTTAATACAAGTTTTGTGTTTATAAATACATATACAGAGACAAAGACGACTTCTCATTTTTGTAACGTGCTAATATTTGTTTATTTTTATCGAGAATTATAGTATCAGCAGCTGCCGTGCGTCGACAGTTAAGTCCAAAATACGATAAAAGATAAAGCATACAACATAAAATTGTATCGCGTCAAAGCTCTTGTCATAATAATCAAATAGATATTTGCCTTTGGCTACATGCTGAGCACTTGATCAAATAGCAGAGAGATCACTCGCATAAATTTGCCTAGTGTGGAGAATATACATAATACATAGTTGGCTAGCTGGGCTCTGCGTAATATATCTAGCATTTCATTAATTATAGAAATGCGCCAGCATTTATTTTTAAATGCCCAATAAAATAAAATACCATTCAGATGGTATTTAATGCATAGTCACGCTTTTCACACAGCGCATGCATCTAATACATGTGAGCATTTCACCAACCGCTGAGACCTTATCTCTACGTCATTAAATTTTGTTTTTCACATCTGGGGTATTAACCCATATATCTGGAAGACTACCTAACTTTCATTTGGCAAATTGCATTTCTTGTGTTTACCCTTTGAATTCAGGTATTTATAAAATAATGTTGCATAAAGCAAGTAAACAGTATAGCGGTACTATATTATGAAGTGAAATGGAAATATTATTAGTTTAAGCATCCACTAATTAACACTAAAATATGGTTTGTTGAAAGTGTATTTGACTTTCGCTTAAGGCAGACCCAATTAGAATCAAAGAAATAAATATAGCTGGCACTCCTCCAATAACATCTTGGGCAGAAATTCGCACTCTCAATATATTGTATATATATAAGTATTTTCCACGATGACAGAAGAAAGCCTTGAACTATTTAGTCTTGTAGGTTCTTGTCCCGGTTTTGCGCTCCTCGATGCCACAAAGTTATTCAACCTGATTTCTACGTGTTCTACCAGTTCTCTACGGCCTCACTAGTTGACCTTCATATTATATAGCGACGTTACGTGTTACGTAAAAAGTTCGCAGTGATTATTTTTTAACAACGTAGAAGTATCTTTTTATCACTAAACGATATCTGTTTGCTTTACTTGCTTGCGGTTTATTTACCGCAATTGACGGGATGTAAGTCGCCAGATTCAAGATTCTAGAAGGATGAGCATTGTATTACAAAAAGACTTAGATAAGCAAATAAATATATGTGTATACTATAGATATACATATATGTAAGTCTGTACTCTTTAGAGCAGCTTGATATTGGATATTGCGTACTCGAACTCAATGCTAAGACTTTGAGAGCAATTTTCACCTGTTTCTAAGTATTGGCAATGCGATAACGAAACTTGATTTCGATGCTGCTTCTGAACTTTCAACGGAATTCCACTTAGCAGCGCATAAAATGAATTTCATAGTTTTCCATTTTCTTTGCAAGTGGCGGCGAAAGCCAATCGATAGAAAATTGCGGATGCTGTCCACTGGCTAGCCGACTCCTGCTCGATTGCATTAGGCTTGACTCAGTATGAGCGCCAACTGTGGAGCTAAAACAGTTTTGATTTGGTGATTTCATATCCGCTGCTTGGATAAACACACACACACACACACTCGCAGAGTCACATTCACTATTGGAATTGTGTAAATTGTATTTATTTATTTATTTGTTTGGAGAATTTACATAGCAAACATTTGCGTTAAAGTGTAACAGCTACCAGCTTGCTTTAAAGCTCACAATCGCAACGAGAAAGTGTTGTTGTGCCTGCCCCTGTTGAATATTTCACAAATTCAAGTCTTGTGTATGAAGTCCGATTTACATATTTTTCAAAGGTAAATACTAAAGATTGAGCACATGGGGAGGGAGTTGTCGCTGTTACGACACCGACCATGAACTGTTTTGATCTACAAAGAATCGGCTATAGTTTAAAAAAAAATCATATTTGATTGTGTTTCTATTTTAAATAAATAAAAATAAATTTGAAATAAATAGACTAATTTGAATTCATGAATTTATCTGCCAAGGATCGATTAAATTAAATTTTAAAAAATAAATAAGC